AAACCCTAAACCGGCACCCTAAACCCCAAACCCTAAACCCTAAAGACTAAACCCTAAACCCTAAACCCCTAAACCCTAAACCCTAAACCCTAAACACCTAAACCCTAAACCTTTAAGTAAACCCTAAACCCTAAACCCCTAAACCCCAAACCCCTAAACCCTAGACCCTAAACCGGCACAGGGGTGGGCTGGGGCGGCAGGCACCTTCTCGCGCTGCAGTGCCTCGATCTTCCTTCTCTCGGCCTCGGCTTCCATCTCCTGGTCTCTTTGGGGCTTTGGGTTTTATGGTTTTGGGGTTTAGGGTCTGGGGTTTTGGGGTTTTGGGGTTTTTATGGTTTTGGGGTTGGGGGTTTTGGGGTTTGGGGTTTTAGGGTTTGGGGTTTGGGGTTTTAGGGTTTGGGGTTTTAGGGTTTGGGGTTTTGGGGATTTATGGTGTTGGGGTTTTGGGGTTTGGGGTTTTATGGTTTTGGGGTTTAGGGTTTGGGGTTTAGGGTTTGGGGTTTAGGGTTTGGGGTTTAGGGTTTAGGGTTTGGGGTTTAGGGTTTAGGGTTTGGGGTTTTATGGTTTAGGGGACTTCGCCATTTAGTGGCTAGGGTCTACTATAGGGTCTCTTTACAGACGGGAAATCTTATACAGGAGTTTATCAAGGTATTACAATATCATGGCTTCCAACATTTGTAATTGTATGTTCTTTAGCAGCAGGTTTTAGAAGAAGCTTTATACCAGTAAGGATCCCATAGGAGCTTTTGATGTATGTTTTCTAGGAGTGGGGTTCAAGCGATTCGGATCTAGCTTAACATGTATGTATACACGTAGGTGCGACATACGCACAAAGGCGCGCGTGCATGTCTGTAGATCGTAGCGTTTCGTGTTCGGACACCTTGGGTCTGGGATGGTCTAGGGCCTGGTGTCTGCAAGGATTTACACTTTACACTGCACGACCCCACGCCCCCTCCATCCACTGTATAGTATAGTTGTGCAAGGAAGCATAAAAAGGGATCTACGTTGTGCATGAGATATTTCCGCGGGTCTGGGTATAGAGGCAGCGTGAGGTGCATACTGGCACTTTGGGATTCAAGACTTGTAACATCCATGCAGGTTTTGATGTTTACAGTACGAGCATCGATGTCGAGTTTCGTGTTTTAGATGTCAGTGGACCGAATGACATGTCGTCATAAGGGTGAAGCCACCGACAGAAGTCAGAGTTTGCACTTGTGTAGGGTGCAGGGCAGGTGGTTCATGTTGGATACTTTTACGCACGTCTTCTGACGCGGCAAGCTGTCAAGCAATGGCCTCGCCGAAGGTAGGAGTACTCTGTAAAGCCACACCAGTACGTTACTGCGTAGGGACCATGGGACTGGGCACTGAGAGCTACTGGTATAGTGCAAATTGGTGTGGATGCTTGACTTGGGCTATTGCTCCGCTGTAAATAATACCAATCTGCCAGATCTACCCACAACCACCATTCCCCCATAGATCGACTTCTGTGATCATGCTCACTCAAACAAAAGCATGACATACATACATGTAGGTGTGTATATACGTATCTACACGTTTTTTTCTACTACATATGTATATATAGATATGTGTGTAAGTATAAAAGGAGAGACGGAGAGAGAGAGAGAGGGAGGGGAGCCGCACATTAAAGTATGTGCACAACGCATCTGTCGCTGATCAGCTGCAGTACTGCTCTCCTCATCGCGGAACTCTTGGAGCTTCTTCTCCACGCCTTAGAATATGAGTGTAAAGGCCTAAAGATGTAGTCCGAGGATACAACTTCGACGGTTTGAGCTTAGCAAGATGCTGAACTTTGCAGATTTTGCTGCATATGATGGGCCTGATCCATGCGGTCCGGCCCGGCCGGAGGCGTTGAAGGGCAAGAGGGCCAGCAAAATGATGCACTTCATGATTGTACATATGTATAAGAACACATACACATCTACAGACGGCCATGGGCTACGATGCAGAGCTGCACCCAAAAAGAAAAAAACATACAAATGCAAATCGTGCATCATAACATAGTGTCGTCGCCGGTGCGAGAGACAGAAACCCTTCCCTAGTACCAGGATCAGAAGCATCTTGCAGGCTGTTCGTGCAAGATGTTGACCAGCTTGAGATTTAGAACCCTCGTCCGATTGACTCATCACTGCAACTGCCGCACACATCTCTGAATCTCCTGGGCGTGTTTTGACGGGATGCTGCTCGCCTGGACATCTTCTTCAGGTGCTTGCAACTTCAGGGTCAGAAATTTAGGCGTATAGTTGTACTTTGTACCCGTCACCGGCAGGGCGTTTGATCTCCGGGCCACCTCCATAGCGAGCGTGAAGATATCTCCACACAACAAAGTTGATTCCGCGAAAGTCCTTGAACGGCTCTTTGTCCGGAAGAGGGCTCCCCGAAGCATCCATCAAGTGGTGGTTGGTTATCCGATCAGGAGGCCCTCGAAGGCCACGCACGAAGTCTTTCCAGGTGTCAAGCCAATGAGCACAGGTCACGTACCACACCTCAGGGCGCAGAGCAGCAAGACAAACAGCGGAGGATGTGTTGATAGGGTTCTCACATGTTCTCCCGATTCAACCGGTGCCACCTCACTTGTTTTCGTGTCATGGAGCTTGACGAATTCATACTCTTCCTTCCGGCGCGCCGCCATGCGTGCCTGACGCGGCTGGGCTTGGCAAAGAGACAGGGATGAACTATAAACAAGTAGACTCAAGCATGCTCAAACTTGAAGGACCCCAACGAGATACCTATGACAGTGAGAGACCACCTACAGCATGAAAGGATTACCAACAAATCCAGAGAATGATCTGAAAGCATGCTGTGATCTCCTGTTTATGGACTTGAAAACAGAAGCACAAAAGGAGGACAACAGGACGAAGGTTGCTCGGCACCTGCGGCTGTGGCTCGTATCCGGTGGGCATGGCGCAGCGACGCCAAAGAAGCTCAACTAAGAGTTTATGCACCATGGCCGGCGTCCACCACTCTTCTTCTGCTCGATCGATGCAGGTTTTGAAAGAGTCCAGATTGCGACACTCGGCCTTACATGCCTGCAAGGCTGCCTCGAAACCCAATGACTGCAAGGTAGTGCTCTGCTGGGCTATCGATCTGTGCAAGAACATCATTGAGTGGTTGCCGTGCATTTTGAGGTCTAGGATCGCCACTACGAGTTCTCGTACTCTGGAGTAGGCTTTCTGAGAGAGCTGAAGGAAGTTGCGGCCACCGGGACCATCCACGATGGACAGCACGTCCACCAAATCACAGGCGGTCAAGTGTTGGCCATCCACTTCTACGAATGTGCCCGTATACAAATATCGAAGCAAAGCATTTACAGCAGCAGAACTGGGGTCCACAGGAAGCGTGATGGGTATATGTCCGCTTGAGCTTTCCCTCATGGGTGCCGATAGCATTCGAGCAAAATAAGCAGACCGCGCCGCGAGGATGCAGCGGTGCACGGCCAGCTGAGATGTCTCCGGCACTCCCCAGCAGACCCAGCAGTCAATTCTCGAATCGAGATCCAGCGGTGTGCCGTCCGCTTCACGACTGGATTCGAAAAGAGTGGTAAGATGCTGCAGAAACTTCGAAGGCGACACAACAATGCTCTGCGAAGCATCGCTCTCAGACTCGCTTGGCAGAACTTGGGTGCTTCCAGCTGCTGCAGAAACTGCACGTGCTACAGCCTCTGGATGCTCGCTGCCCAGGGCGGCAAACAATGACTGGTTGAAAGACACGGACTTGATCAACTCATTTCCTGCCTTTCCAAGAAACTGATAGATGCCGTTTTCCAGCTTCTTCGAGCCAATCTTCATGGCCGTCTGTAACACATCCACCACGGTATCCTGTGTCAGAGACGCGCACAGATGGTGCTCGCATAAAGCACACAAGCGTCTCATTTCGCACGGGCTTTTTTCTAACCTGCTCTTCTTGATTCTACCTTCTCCCGAAAATGCACACGGAGGATCCCGGCTCACCAAGCTTCCGGCCACAGCCAGTAAATCCAAGACCGGGGCTGGGTTCTCATCAAAAGATGAAGGGAGGCCGTCCGTGTAGAGGTAGAGCAGCAGGTGCCGGAGTGCCTCTACGCTCGCTTCCGGCAGAGAGATGGTCCAAGGGGATCTGCCGGGCTCTCGCACTGCTTTCTCGGCGAGTTGTGGACATCGCACCTCCAGCAATGCCAGGTGGGCATGTATGTCGCCGTTCCTCCCTCGCAGGAGCGTATCTGAGAGCAGCCCCTCATCGGAAACAGCAAGCGCTTGCAGGTCGTCATGTAGAGCTTGGTTCATGGATGTGCGCCTGCTATTGCGGATGCTCTACCGAACCCATGTGTGCTACTCGACAGCGAGAAGGCTGTAGCTCGTTATGGTGCTGATATATGATGTGATGGCCGACCGACCTGCAATGTCAAATGGTGAGACAACCTTTCTCTTAGTTGTCCGGTCTACACTGCTGAACATGGCGGCAGAGGAAGCAAGACGGAGTATGAATTTCAACCGAACTGTGCTGGCAAGACTCAGCGTCGCTTCAACTCCGCCAACGCGCTCAGTTCAATTCTGATTCAAACCCTATGAGAGACTTTAGGCAAAACAAGCAAGTGGTTCCAAGTCTGTGTGCAGTCGAAAACGAGTCGCATGCTAAACCCACTGTGGACATGCGAACAGAGTCCTTCTTGCAAGATTAGCGGGGACATGTACCAGTACCTACAACCAGCACCACCAATGTTGACACAATGGCTCGTGTGGCCCTTGCAATAGTTCGTGCTTGAGCACTCTGTCACGAAAGAAACCTCACGAGGATGGAATCCATGGTCTATATCGAGCGATACTCCTGCTGCTTGTACTGTGGAACACCCTAAACTTGCCGCAAACCGTCGCAGATTTCTGAGGGAGGCTTCTTCAGACCAGCAGCGATTCAAGCAGAACTCCTCGCGTTTGACAGGATGGGGCTTCAAGCACAGGGTGGATTTAGCCTGGCACATCGGGTTCAGCCCTGATGGTGGTGAGGCTACGACATCATGCGTGCCGGACCCATATTGAATTGGTTTTGGAAAGATGGCTCAGGCTTATATTGTCGCTGTGCCAGAAAATCTATCCTGCACAATAGCCATGCGGTTGTCTTCCCAATGACCACTCCTTTAAGAAGGACCTTGACAACATAACACCCTCATGCACGCGTACAAAAGAACCAACCAAACCAACCAAACCAACCAACCAACCAACCAACCAACCACCCAGCCAACCAACCAACCACACCACGACGCGCCACACCACGACACGCCACACTCCACACAGGCTTCAAGGTACAGGCCTGAACTGCAGCTCGAAACCCACCTATCCGAAGGACCTCCGTGGCCCCGATACCTACTTGCCACGTTTCCTACATGCCTGCGGGGAACTGACATCAACCTTGGGGGTCATGCTCCGATCAGAAAACGGATTTCGAGTTCAAGTTGTTGATCGAGCAGCTAAAACCACCTCCTTTGGGCTCGTAGTGGTGTTCATGAATTCAATTATAGGGTCTGGGGGGTCCTGCCTCTTGGGATTATGTAAGGTCTGTACGGTAGGTGGCTCGCTGGCTGTAGCCTCTATAGCGATAGGGCCAAGTGTTGAGATGCTGACGTTAGATGTGTTGGTCCTGCCGATGTAAGTCCTCTTGAACCGTGAACGGTGTGCTTCTAAACCCAGGCCGGTTGGTTCCAGCAAGACTGCCCTGCTAAACGAGGCTTCAACATAGCAACCAACACCGGAACTACACTTATTCCTACTTCTGCAAGCTTCGAGCTTCTTTGCTCAAGTAAACCATACAGGACCATACATCGTTGTCATTGTTGCCAATGTGCATGACGCTGAACTCTTCACCTTGGCGCCTTTGCCCTCGATAGACTGCAACCCGAGCCTTCATGGCCCAAGCCCGGGACCAGTTTCAGTTCAGGCTGTGGGGTGTGTTAGGTGGTTCTTGTACGTGTCATCCAGGGACATTCAACTTCAGCGGCCCCTTCCCCATCCTCGTTCTGCAGCACGCCATCGCCGTTGTCATCAAGAGCCTTCGATAAACACCTCACCCCCTCACTCTGTCGAACTACCTCTACGCCCCATACCGTGAAGGCTCGATACTCTCATGCTCGGAAATGCTCAAGGTAGGCGCTGAACAGTGAACAGTAGGACCATGCGGACTCCATACACCAGAAACCTATTGCAAGCACCCGAAGCGACGGAGAAACTCATGCAGCCAGAACAGGATTGGCGATCAAAGCTTGGAAGAGCTGGGACCCAATCCTCAAGCGCTAGAGACCCGTAGTCAAACAACCCCGAACACCGCAAATCCTTGACTCAAGCATCCTAAAACCAAAAATCCAGTACCACCTTAGATCCTGAACACATCAATCATATACACGAATGCAAAGCATCCCCAGCCTAGACTCCAAACCACGGTTTGGGGTTTAGGGTAGGGCTTGCCTTCAGAAGCCGCTTGGCTTTGTCGTCGTCGATCTCGACTTTGCATTCCTCGCAGGCTCTGGATGCGTACACTTCGGTTGGCGAGGTCAGGATCTGTGTTTTACGGCTTAGGGGCTGCGCATGCAGATTTTATACTGCGTTTCGGGTTCAGGCTCTGGGTGCGCAGTCCACGCGGGAGGGGATCAACAGCGAATCTCAACGCACAGTAGAATCTGGTGTAAAGCTTTAGTTGGCGGCAGGAGCACACCAGCACACAGCAGCAGCTAGCATGGAGTAATTCTGTGGGATCGCTTGCAAAGAAGCAAGCTTTCAAAACAAGGGCAGTTGTGTGATGATAAGGGATCATCCTGGCAGAGACTCCACCGATCGTCCACGTCGGTTCGCCTTCAGCCGCGCTCAAGACTCAAGCAGCCATGCCCTCAACCTTTCATACGACTACATTATGCGAGCTTGGGAACTCCTCGAAAGGGCAGTGCGGCATGACACCCCGCGCCCCCGAACCTGCACCCTTAACTCTCAACCTCAGATGCCTAATCGCTTAGCTCCAAGACCCCAAACCATGAAACCTATACCCTAATCCCTTAACTCCAAGACCCCATCGGCCATGAAGCCTTTGTAAAAATCCCTATAAAATTGGACACAAAAACCCAGTCTTTGGGTTACCCTTGCTCCTAAAGCTACAGCTGTAACCTCCAGTCCTTCAGCTCTACATCCTCAAGCCGATACCCTAAAGTTCCAGCATCCTAAACTCTAAAAATTCCCAAATCCTTTTTCGAAGCCCTAAACTATGCTTTCTACATTTTGAGGCATAATTCCCAAACCCTATGTCTAAACCCTACTATACTTCCTGCATTTTGAGGCATAATTTCCCCAAAAAATGTTCCCGAAATCTTCCTACTTCCTACTTTTTGAAGTTTAAGCTTTCTAGATTTCGAGGTATAATTTCCCAATCTTTTCCTAAATTCTTCCTACTTCCTACATTTTGAGGTCTAAGCCGGCCTCCTTGAGGCCAATTCTCAGCTCCTGGCTCGGGGTTTCATAGGGCTCAGGGCTTTTGATAGCCCTATAAGGGTCCAAAGGACCCAAATAATCAGGTTCTTGGGTTTGGGATAGTAGTTCTATCGGTAACCCCTATTGGTTAGTGTGTTGGAGAGTATGTGTATATATTAATATATATATATACATATATATATATGATTGTCAGATAGTTAGACTCGTAGGATACGGTCTAGAACTCGGGATTTGACGGGTTTAGGATTTATGAGGTGGGGTTTGCAAGGTTGGGCGCACAGGGCTTTAGGTTGAGGCATCAGGAGTTTCACGGTTCAGGGGTCAGGGTTCAGAGCCTGAGGTTTAAGGGTTCAGAGAATTACAAAGGTTGGACCTTTCATGGAAGCCCAATGTGGAAGAAACAGTATGACATCTTCGTCAATGTTGATGCTTCCTCTTCTGGCTCGGAAATGGTGGGGTTTGCTGGGGGCTGATCGGCTGGTGTGCAGTTTGGAAACTCACTTTGCGAGCTCAGTGCTTAACTGGGCTTATAGAATGGGACGGTCCACATGATAGGTTCCCGGTCGGAAGGACGGATCGGCAACAACTCGTCGCCTTTTAAGTATACATGTGTGTATGCATGTGTATGTGTGTATATATA